GACTCCATCCTCTGGAGAGAAGGACGATTCCGACCCACCTGTCAGGAGGATTCTTGCAGGAAGGGTATAAACCAGGTGTATGTTTAGCTTTTTTGATTCGCGTGCAAACCGGAACTGTTTTTACCATTTTTTTTTACTTTTTGTGCAAACCAGACATATGTTTACCTTTTTTTTTCTTACTCTCGTGAAAACCAGACCCATATTTACTTGACTCTCATGCAAATCAGACCTATGTTTACTTTTTTGTCTCTAAGTGCAAATGAATCTATATTTACTTTTTTGTCTCTAAGCGCAAACCGGACCTATGTTTACTTTTTTGTCACTAGTGCATATGTACCTATATTTAATTTTTTTTTACTTTCTGGACCTATGTTTACCTGCTTTTTTGTTTTGTTTTTGACTCTCGTGCAAACCTGACCTATATCTAGCGTTTTGACTATGTCTACCTTATTTTACTCTAATGCAATTCAAGACCTCTAGTTTTTTCCCTCTAGTTTAAATCGGACCTAAGCGTACCTATCTAATAATTTATTGTGATATTTATCCTATTAAAACTTGTATTCGACATTTAAAATTAAAATCCACACGACTTGATATGGTGTTAAATTAACCAACCTAACCTAAAGCAATAAAATTTAGTTGTCATCTTTTCAGTTCAGTCTAAATGGCAGGATCTGTCAATGTGTGACGGGATATTATCGAAGCATATCCTCAGTTGCTTCAGAACATGAATTTCTCGTAAGACACCACGTCAGCCGTTTCCAGTTTGTTAATACTTCGGTACCATTGGAAGGGGTTATGTTAAAAAAAGGAGCATTGTGTGCAATACGTCATCAAAGTGGGAGGGGAATATATGTAATTACCTACATACCTTCTGTTGTGGATATCGAGTTGAAATCCGGTACCAATAAATAACAAACGCCAGAAATGAATATATGAAAATAATGTATTAACGTAATAATACAAACTGGTAAAGCAGGTTAGTAGTTCCAAGAATACGGGTTAGAAGCAATATATATATATACAGTCTTTGGTATTGAAGTATCGCTGTATGACTTCTTACTGAGTCTACGTGCTCGCTCACTGTGACTCCTACAACGCTGTTACCTCACCCTCACTCTTCCGGTTACCTACAACCTGTTACTCTCGACTCCACTCGACGATATTTATTACTGTATTTACAGCAAATGTGGCACAAGGCCAAAGGGGTGTTGGGGAAAAGGACGGTCATCATTTGTCTGGGCTCGACTCGACTCCTCGGGTATTCACTGGCAGTAGTATAAGTATACACTGGGTGAGTCCATTTGTATAAAAAGGTGTGGATCCCTCAACACCTTCTAATTAAGTAGGCCCAACATATACTTTTAAACAAGCAGAGGATATGCTTGTATATGAAAATATTTTAGGGAGGTTAATATTTTTGTTAAAAACAGTCTGGACAAATTTTGCTTTCGTTTGTTATTACATCTTATTGTAACTATTACGTCTTTTGTACTCGTAACATGGTTCCAGGAAACAAAAGAAAATGGTAAACCAATTAAAGGACTCAAAGAATTTACTGATATTTTCTCTCTCATTTTTAAATTTATGCTCGTACAAGCACCGAAATTAGACAACATCGAGCCTGGTCAGTACCTAGATGGGGGGTGACTGCTTGGGAATATCAGGTCATGTAAGCTTGGGTGTGCGGGTGGTGTAATGGATAATGCCTAGGAAGTGAAAATCGGAGGCGGTGGGAAAGTGATTGAAGTTGAGATACCAGATCAGAGCCGATAATATTGCAGACCCTTTTTGGGATTTTGTCGAGGATCTCGAGATATACAACCGGAACACCAGACCAGATATGGTAGAGATATTTAATGCACGAATGAATAGTAGATTTATAAATGTACAAGATGGATTCTGGCGAGAAAGATTGTCTGGCACAACACTGTGAACCAACTTTCCTAGACCTAGTAATTGATTCAATATAAAAACTCCACTTTATGTCAGTGGAAAACCTGAGACAAAGAAGGCGCAATGCGTTGTTCTCCTGGAGGTTAGCATCAGCCATACTTATGGAAGGTAAAAATGGTCCTCTACAAAATGAATCAACATTGAATTAAATCGTGATTGCATTTAACAAAAAAAAAAAAAAAAAAAAAACTAAATTGCGAAGGATGTACAAATTTAATACAAAATGAGAAAGAAACCTGTTCTTTTTTATTTTGTTATTCTTATAAGTACGTTGGTTTGTTTAATAGACTGATAAGTATGTAATTAGGTATAAGTGCATTGTAAAGTGATACCTTAAGTAGACATCGTGCACAGTGAAATAATAGTCTGATGCAATTCATATTGTGATTGTATCGCTCTCCAGTTATCTCACGCTTTGTACACACACACACACACACACACGTAAGCGTATATATACAGAGTGAGGCAAAAGTCGTGCAACATAGGGATAATTTATTAAAGGTATAATTACACATGGAAATTTTATTGACTAGCTATTTAATTGTCACATGTGCTGTTCAAAATGTCCTCTTTCTTTTTCAAAACACATTTTAATTCTGTGCCTGCATGATTCATTAACACATCGGAGAGATCCTCTGTCATTTTACTGCAGTCATATTTCATTCTTTTTTTTAAGTTCCTCAATATTTCTTGGCGAAACAAGTGATTGCAAATGGCCCCACAGACAAAATATCCAAGGGTGTGAGGTCTGGTGACCTCAGTGGCCACTCAACGGGGCCTATCAAAACAAATTAGATATTTAAAACATGATGAATTACTTAACCGCTATGTCTTATCCTGTATAAAGTCGTAAAGTTCCAAGCATTTAGTTTCTGCTTAAGGCCTAAGCTTTTACTTTAGAATTTTCTTTGGATTTTGTCTCAAAATGTACAGCAGGAGCACCACATCAAATAAGGCAACAGTATTCAATGCACGGACGAATGGTAGATTTGTAAATGTACAAGATTATATATATATATATATATATATATATATATATATATATATATATAATGTGTGTATATTTAGGCAGCAATCCTTCTTTCATGCACATTTCTTGTTAACAGTTAATATATTTCAACCTTGAAAATGGCTAAATGTATAAGCGTTCGGATAAAAAGAACAATCAGACAGTTTTTAATTGTCACATGTGCTGTTCAAAATGTCCTTTTTCAAAACACATTTTAATTCTGTGCTTGCATGATTCATTAACACGTTGGACAGTTTCCTCTGTCATTTTACTGCATTCATATTTCATTCTTTTTTTAAGTTCCTCAATATTTCTTGGGCGAATCTGATAAACAACTAATTTCAAATGGTCCCACAGAACAAAATCTAAGGGTGTGAGGTCTGGCGACCTCAGTGGCCACTCAACAGGACATCAATCATTAATCCCTATGTTGCGCGACGTTTACCTTATATATATATATATATATATATATATATATATATATATAGTTTCAGGTACGCTATATTTATGAGATAAAGTTCTCAATATCAGAGATAGAGCGTATGTAAATATAAATGAGGGACATTAAAGTCAACACTCAGAGGCGACAGACTGTTTCATGCTAAACGCAATCATCAGACCACCGATTGCGTTTAGCATGAAACAGTATGTCGGCTCTGAGTGTCGACTTCACTGTCCACACACACACACACACACACACATATATATATATATATATATATATATATATATATATATATATATATATATATATTCGTAAGTAATCCAAGTGAATCTTAGTAATATTAAAACTGATATATATATATATATATATATATATATATATAAATATTTCTAAAGAATTAATGGATATATTTTTTAATCCGACATATATGTGTGTGTGCTAATCTAATTTCCTATCAGCACATACATACACGTATACATGTGTATGAGGTCTGGTCCAAAATCATCGGGACTGCCGCCATGGTAACGGAGGTAAAATACGCAGTGAGGCTGCTTGGCACTGATTGATCTCATAACGTTGTCACTCACTTCCATTGTTTATAGCAGTACTTGGAAGGAAAGTGTGTAGAGTGTGGTCATCTTACCACATCACAGAAATTCAATCAGTGACCACAGCTTGTGCAGCAGTTTTTGGCCAACAACTACATTCCCCAGGTTTAACAACCACCATATTGCCCAGATCTCCTTGAGACATTTTCCTCTTTAAAAATCAAATCCAACTTGAAAGGAACAAAACGTTGAGGAAATCTAAGAGAATGTGATGGGACAACTACTTGCTGTCCCCCAAAAAGGATTTTCAGGAATGCTTCCATCAATGGAAACGACGCTGAATAAATCGTAATGCTTCAGAAGGGGATTACTTCGAAGGAGATTAAATGCCGAATTGATATGTATTGTAGGTTTCTTTTTATAGCACAAGTCTCGATACTTTTCGATCAGACCTCGTATACGTACTTTCGAATGCCGAATAAAAGAAGGGTTGTAATTAATTGAGGATGGTTAAAAAAATTAGAAAATGTAATAGACGGGTGGCCGTGTAATAAACGACGTGGGAGTTTGAAAATTAAAGATAAAATCTAATAAAAAGTGTAGGGTTAAATAAACGGGGTGGCTGGCAAGTGATTAAAAGCAAATCTTTCAGACTAGAACAAGAGTTCAAAGAAATAAAACTAAAAAAAAAAATGTCTTTAAGTAAAATGCTTTAAGAAAATAGAAAATATGTCCAGGAAGTTTCCACAATGTTACAATATAAATAAATGTCCATTAAAGATAATAAAAAAAAAGAATTAGTAAGCGTTGGGAGGTGTTCTTAAGCGCGGGGTGGAGGGATTTAATAAGAGGCGGAAGTCGTTTATTTGGCAGCTGAGATCATTTATCTTGACTCGATTACGTAATTACTATCGCACGCGAGGTTTCCTGTGTATTCATACTTTATGTATATACATCTATTTATATACTTACCTATATATCGATATCAGTCTGTTCGTATATATCTCGTTTTGCTTCCATCTATTTATCAATATCTCTCATTATGTTTCGTTCTCACTTTCTTTCTCACTTTCCCCGCTTTCTTCCCATCGCTCACTTTCTTTGTCTGTCTCTCTCTTGTTCTCTCTCTCTCTCCCTTTCTTTCTTTCCCTCTCTCTCTCTTTCTTTGCCTATCTCTCTCTCTCTCTTGCTCTCTCTCTCTCTTTCTTGCTTGCTTGTTCTTTCTTTCTTGCCCTCTTTGTTTCTTCATTTTTATAGTTTTTTTCTATTGGTAAGTAAAGGTTAGTTTTTTTTTAATCATTTCACCCCAACCAAGGCGATAAACTCCCCTAAAACGGAAGGTGTTACTGAGGGGAAAATAAACTGAGTAAACAAAAACTTCATAAGAAACCGGAAGAGAGTTTTACAAACAGGAAGTGTGGAAGAAGGATCTGTTCGCATACAACTTATGCTTACATCTATCAATTTCAATAGTAATATAATAAGACCTTACTGCCATTGTAATAGATGTTTCTTTTGGAGATTTAGGCATTTCTTAACAGCTATGTTAGTCTACAAGAGCTTAATATTTAAACTAGCCATGAATTTAGCTTTCATATTTATGCCTTTTAATCTTTCAATCAAGTTGCTGGAATTTTATGTACAGGACTAATTCGATTGTTTCAGGAAGTCGTCTTAAGATTTTTACTATGGCTTTCACTAGTCTATGGCGAACTCTTCCAATTTCACTTGGGTCGCATTGGAAAGTCAATTTTGTCTGCTATTGGTAGACAAGAAAGTCTGGATATTTTAGGGTGGCATCCGATTAATTTTGACCGTCTTTTATCCGCATGATTAACTAAATTTCTAATCATTTTTTTGTGTCTTGAAAATTATTTTACGACTATTGATTTTTTTTCATAAACGTTCGCATTGAATAAAAGTTTTTTTTTCTTTGTATGTACAGACCCATCACCAGGAATTTTATTTATAGAATTTATATCAGCCAGTTATGTGCCATACACGCTTAGACGATCATGTATCTTTCGATACATGACTGACGAGGCAGATTTTTTTTCGCGCAGTAGGTTGCCATTTTTTTTCACAGTTGGAGGCAAATGATTTTCGGAGCTGCAGGCACTTCCAGTCCCCACTGGGAACAGGCCTGTGTTAGCCTTCTTTTTTTATGATAAAATCCCACCTTCTTTCAAGCGGCAGTGATGGAAATGTCGTTATTTTTGGCTAATTTGTCTCTTGCTTTTATGCGTTGTTTTAATGGTAGTGAGTAATCCTTGTATGACAGATAAACTCATGGTTAGTTTGGATATTAAATCCCATAATAAAGCAGCTGTTAACAAATGACTAAATCTCCCAAAGAAACAATAAAAAAACTAACCTCTCCTTAGCTAAAAAGAAAATAATAAAGACTTGATGACTTATTAAATCCAATAGTATTTTACTGTGTATCTACCAATCACATACAATGTTTTAGTAATCACGTACGTTTATCTCACAACTTATTATTTACTGCGAGAGTGAAATAAATTCTCGCCTGCTACCGCACACTAATGGCCTCATGCCAGACTAAGATAAGCTTAAATGCTTATGATGCTCTATCAGCGAAAACATAATTGAAGCTAGGGTTATCATCTGGTGAAAACAGCAAAACGTCTATCTATCTATCTATCTATCTGTGCCAATCTCATTTAATGTATATATGCATGTCCGTATGCATCTATCTATGTATCTATCTGTGTCATTCAATCTGTCTCATTATATCTATCATTTTATTTATCTATATCTGTGTCAATAACATTCATTCAATCTATCTATCTATCTATGAGAAAGAATATGTGTGGATATAAGAATCAACACTGCATGGTGACTGTCAGTTCATTGCTTTAATGCGCTCTTCAGACCAACTGCCACTATTTCTTTAGCTTTATATATATAGCGGGATTAACTCTAATACACTTAATCCCCTGTAGTCAGTCGATTTTAGACTTTTTTCGTTCATCAACTTTGGACAAATCTAGATAGATAAAAACTCACACGAAATTTTTGATTTTTAACTTTAAACCCCTTTTGAGGAAATGCAATCAAAAATCATTGAAAAATGTGTTTAAAAAGCCATTCGTTTTGGCAACATTTGATTGAAAAATGATATTATTTCAACAGTGAATCAAAAAAGTTTGCTATTTTAATAAATAGATTTTATATTACATGAAAAGTAATTCAATCCAAATATTTATATAATCATATTAAAATTTTCGGTGTAAGAGCCTTTAGAAACGAAGGAAGACACAAGGTTTTTGTAAGAATGTATCTGTCTTGCTTCAAATCTGTAAACAACACGAGAAGATTAATTTCACTGCTCTTTCAGCAAGCTGAGAATATGAAGGAAAAATCAGGCAACTCTAATTTTGTGTTATTTATAAGAGATGCTTGAATTTCATTTTCTGACATTTTTTCAGTGGTTTATGTTCACAAATTGCATTTTGGGATAGATTGATTAATTCTGACCAATGCAAGGCTTCAAGGTTGATGGCAGGTATTTTATTCAACCTTTTCTTTGTTGGCTTCCCACTTCTGAAAGGATTAAAAAAATCAATTTCTATTTTAATTAAGCAACCCATGCCTATTTTATTTTATTTTTTTAGTAAAGAGAATTTAAAAAAAAACACATAAAAAAAAACTCTCCTTTAAATCCAGATAAATTAGTTTATTTCCGTATATTTACTTGCCTAAAGGACAGAATTTTTTCAAGAGCTACTTTTTTCACCTTCAATTCATTTGATTTCATCAATGAATACAACAGATTCTCAGGTAACAGAGCAAACGAATTATATTGGATATTCTTGAATGCAATATTGTGAATGTCTTCAAACTGTTTCTTAATCCTTTGGATCATCTGCTAGTTATGGAATTTGCTAATCTCCCTTAATCGCAAACTAGCTAACTGCATACAGTTCTATAAATAAATTAATAAGTTGGTGAAACTTGTCATGGAGTTCTGAAGGGTATATACCTCTGGTCCACATACACATTAACCTGGTTGCTAACCATTTTGAATTACTTAATGGTTCAATTTTCCAGACAGTTAATAGCGTTAACTTTACATTTGGAAATCCCTTGTGTGTATTCCCAAAGGAGTCTTTGGTCTTACTTAGAACCGCCATTTTTACTAAAGGTACCATATTATCAAGAGAGCCACTGTTTTTCATAAATTGTATTTGTGGCAAATCCTGATAGTCCTTTTCAAACAATTTGGCGGAAGCAGTCAGGCTTCTTGTGACATGAACCTGTTTAAAAACAGCTCTGAATGGTAGCTCATTCTGATGCAAAGAACAGCCAATTGTATGTCATTTTCGGTTGAACTTCAGAGAAGTTACAAAGCTTGCCTTACATTCAATATTTGTATTTGTGTTGTCCAGAAGAACAGCCTTGGCACCTGTCGTTGGAAATACTCTATCAGTCAGGTATTTACTTTCTATTCTCAGTTCCTGTCTCTTAAGTAAATTTTAGATGGAGATATGGATCCCTTTCTTCTTTTAGTTTAATGTCACCATTTTCCCTTATAACTTCTTTAATTCTTTATACAACAAAGTTTCTTTATTAAACTTGCCATCAACTCCTCTGAAGCAGACAAGTTTTTTAATACTTTCAGTGTGTCTTTCATGTGTCATTACTTTTATTTTAGGCTTTTCTCTATCTATTTTTGACTTATCAGTTATAATGTTTATAAAATCAAAACTTGTATTAAAAGGCTCATAGCCTGTAAATCCAAGCGAAAGGCATTAGTAAAGAGTACTCCAATATTAGAGGAAACATTGTAGAGTTACCCCACTTACTTTCTTAAAAAAACGTCGCTAGGGTACGCTTCTTAAGTCTATAAATAGGAAGTAACATTCTATTGTCACTTCTTTTTCCTTTATGGTTTGTGAGATCGACAATATTATCGACTTCGCAACAACATCTCCCATATCTTGTGTTTTTCTTCAGATATTTTAATAAAACTTTTTACAAATATTAATCTAGAAAATAATAATAAACTACACTGTTAGTTCATATTTTACTTAAAAAATTCGCAATTAATAACTTTTTCTTTTTTTACCTTATATTTCTTAAAATTTTCCTATGTAAATAAAAACAAAACGCATGCTGATGTAACGGTGTAAAAGCAAATAATCACAAAATTTAAATCTGGTTCATCTAAATAAATAAAGCGCAGTGTACGTGTGTCCGTCCGTTTTTCGATCTTGGTGAATCATAAATAACCTGAAGTATCAGGTAGTAACTACTGTAGTTACACGTGATTAATAAACAAATCTTTAAAGTTAAATTTAAATATTGAACAGAGTGGAAGGTTTAAAAAAAACAATTCTCTTTTAAAGGTTTAATTTTAATTTCCCTTTTCGTCACCACTGCAATTGATATCGTCTAATTAAACTGTAATTAAAACGTGGGACACGGTACGTTGCTAATATATATTTTTTCTTTTTCTAGCACGCGTACTGTGACGTGTTCGAAATATTACATAGTTCGGGTCCCCTAATGTTTTTTAAGAGATACTTTATGTGAAGGGATCATAAAGAATGGTGATTTTTTTAAAAAAAGAAAATAAAAATTGCGCGCAAAATAAATGTAAAGAAACTACTGAGGTCGGTTACGTATACGATGAAAGATTACGCCGAATTAAGGTGTCGAATAAAGATGAAATAATTTTATTATTTCTTAATTCTTATAACTTTTACGTACATAGGACACTGAAGATAAAAAGCCGAAAGCCTAAAAGCCCTCCGCAGAAGCTAACTTAAAGTCCACCCGAAAGGCGGCTTCTAGGCTAGTTAAAAATAAAAAGTGAAAAGTTTTTTGTTTTTTAGTTTTTCCCCAAAATAAAACTATCGCTTAAAATAAATTAGGACATGTTTATGATTTATGAATGTTTTTTTCACTGAATTCATTGTGAAAAAATTTCTTTCGGAAAGAAAAATAAACTAAAAAATAGTTTTTAATTGCTAACCTGCGAATTGAATACATTGATATTACCTTTTTTGTTTAAAC